GCAAGCTGCGGATTTCACGCGCTAAAACACTATCAAACTGACAAGATCGTTCACTGTCTATAGCCGGGTACCCATTTCCACCTGGGTGAAGTGAGGAACATTAGTGCAAAGTGCCTTTCCCAAGGACACAACGTCGGGATTCGAACCCACGACCTTACAGTTGCGAGTCCGAGAGCCTAACCACTAGGCCACCGACGCCACGTTTTATATATATTATGTTAATATATGGACGTTCTTTTTTCCTTTTTTATAATTAGCAAAACCTGGCGGAAAGCGGGAAGGCAGAATGATGTGTGTGAGTGGAAGGGGGGGGGGGGTGGAATAACAGGGTTTAACGGTTAGGTGGGGGAGAGAAGTTTAGTTTAGTTTTAGTAAGAGTTTTACGGCATTTGCAACACAATAAGGTCATACAAGTGCCGAGGATTAGAAGTGTTACAAGGGAGTAACAAACACACACAAAAAGAAGGGAGATAGAGACGATAGACGTTTGATAGTATAGGAAAGAAAGAGCAAATCACACCAGAGCACCCGCCAACCACCCAGAGGGAGGGGAGTGGAAAAACAGGGTTTGACTGTTAGTGGGGAAGAGAAGTTTGGCCCACCACTGCATGTTTCCAGGAGATGCTGCACCGACCATTGGATCATCATCGTCATCATCATCATCATCATCATCATCATCCAGTGCCAGACATCGGCGATCATGGTTCTCCATTCATTCCTTTGCACGGACGTTCTCAAAAAAGTTACGTTTCCCTGATCTTTCCCTGTTACCCATTTGTTTAGGTTCTCCTAGTAGATTATTCTGGGCCTACCCCTGCCTCGTTTGTCTTCAATTTAGCCAGTGAGAACTAGATGTACAAGACCCGTATGTCTATTCAGATGTCCCCAAAACTGTATTTGTCGTTTCTATTGGATAGGCAAAAGAAAACTACCAAATTTGTGCAGTAGAAACTGTTCTCCACATGCCAGTTGGATAAAGAGAGGTGTACTGACACAAAAATGGTTACATGAGTTCGGTGCCTGAAAGGACAGAAAAGAAACAACCAGGGAGCATAAAGAAGTTCTGTTTTTAAAAATAAAATTAAAGCTTTATTATCAGACACAAAACAAAGATATCGGGAACATGCTTCACATGGACCCACTGACAGTAGTGGTAGAGCATAAGGCTGGGAAAGATGAACATTGTAATTGTAGACATTTTACACCCCAGTCAACACAATCTTGATCATTTCATTTTTAAAATTTAGTAGAGGTTTTGCGTCGCTCGCAACTGCATAAGGTCATATGAGCGCCAGGGGTGGATGTCAACAGAGAAGTCCTTGCAGGGAATCAGGCTTACTCTGCTCAACTCTCTGCTTCAACTATCAAGGCACCCTGGAAATAGTGGGTCACAAGAGTGTGACAAACATACAAAAGAAGTTGAGGAAAAATGACGATAGTAAGGATTAGGAAAGAAAAAGCAGCAGTTCCCTGTTGTAGACACTGATGAAACAGCCCATTAAGACTTCTACTGTGCATAAGAACGAGAAATGTACCCCCTTTGGGAACGGCCTAAAGACAGTTCAGTCAGTGGCACCACCCCGCTGGGGTCATAACATCCCAGCAGACAGACGAAGATACTCAATAAAATTCTCCCTACACGGGAATCAAACTCATGTCTTTTGAGTGCAAAGACAAAGTGCCTAACTGCTATACCACAGACGCTGAGACTGAGAGTGAAACTGAGAGAACATTCCCTTAACCCTATCCGTACGCCCTGGGGTAATTTTGTACCCCGAGGTTGTATTCTTCACATTTTAGAATACTTTTAGTACGAAGATCTCTTTGAAACTTTCAGTATTTCTCAAAAAATCATTTTGACAGACTGCTATGCAAAGCGTACGGACTGGATTAACCAGTAAATTTCCTCTTCGGAAAGTGATGGCACAGAGTTCCCCATGTCGTATGGATACGATAGTAAAACACGACGTACGGATAGGGTTAAAAATTTCATTCTCCGATTCAAATCTGTAAGTGAACTGTGGCACATTGACCAAGTCAACAACCGAAAGCACAGCAGCTAAAAATCTGGGGTCATAAGGACAGAAAACATCAATTAATTGTCTCAATCTCAACAATGACCATTCTGTTCAATGTTGAACGGGATATACAATTACATATATTTACAAAATAACGACTGAATCTCCGGAAATAAATACAAGTACACAATGGCCACAAAGAGACATGGATGATGATGATAGCACAAGGTAAACCTGTCCCCGAGGTCTTATGCACCCGCAGAATTTAACAAAATTTGATCATTTTTTGCATAATTTCTGATTATTTTCCTTTATAATTCTTTGATAAAATTAAGAGAATCGATTAATTTCACATTTTTAGGCTCAGTTTGAATAATTTCAGAGGTTTTTTTTTTTACATTAAACCGCGGGGATAGGTAAACAGCCTATACCATAAGGCAACCCCCCCCCCCCACACCCCTCTTAAAAATCTCAAAGTTCACAAAAATGAAAAGGCAAAATTTGTCAGTGATGTTAATTCTGCCGAAAGCTGACAAAATGCCTTTTTTTTTCTTCACAGCAGTTTTGAGAAAAAGAAGTTTTTTTTGTCAGCGTAACCTTTGAATAATAGAGTCATTCGTAAATTTGAATTCTAATTAATTAAAAAACCAGTCACAGTTTCACTTTGATTTTTTTCACACAAGTAGGGTAACTGATCAGACTTTCGATTTAACAAATAAAACATTTTGGCGTCAAAATGAAAAAAAAAGGCGTTTTGTCATCTAACGGCACAATTATGATTTCTGGAAATAAAACAACAACAACAACAACAAAAATGGAACTTGACATCCACGAACAAGAACACTTCCGTGATATGACCGTCGAGAAAATCCTGCAACTGCAAAAAAGTTCTAGACCAGTGCTTGCCAAGCTTTTAAAAGCCAGTGTCCAATTTCACCAACAGGCTAAAATCGTCACACCATGTCATGTATTTCCAAGCGGAGGGTAGAAGAATACACACCTGTCCCTACCCAAAATTTTAATGATCCCCCCCCCCCCCCCCGAAAAAAAAAATAATTTAAAAAAAATAAAAAAATTAACAAGTCACCCATTAGTGGGCCATACCACTCAGACAAATCTCCAAATGTTTGAACTGTATCGGCTACTTGTGGGCGATTTGATGGCTTTTTTCAGGGGGGTGTGTGGGGGGGGGGGGGGGCATCACCATGTCTAGTATGTTTGATTCATTCAAATGTCAGCTGAAATTGTTTCTGTTTTTAAATTGATAAGATGAATATTTGGAGTGATTTTCTTTCAGTCAGAACACAACGTTTTATGTTACTGATGTATGTTGTATTGAATTGTAAAGCACTCAGAGCCTCTGTACTTTAATCGGGGTTGAGCACTATGTAAATGTCATTAATTATTATTATGTGATTCATCTGACGACAAGGTATTTGAAAAGACAGCACATTTGTGAGATCAAGCCCCAGCACAGTCAGTCTGTGCCACAGTAACAAGTGACATACATCCTTACGACAGCCGCTACCACATTTCACATTTCAATTTGATTTCAAAACCTATCAAAATTGTCTAACTGATCTTGCTATCAAGACATAACATTTAACATATATTTATAGTAAAATCATGTTAGCGAGAAAAGAGAAATTAACTTTACCTAGATCAACTAGCATTTCATTTTATTTTACAATTTTATTACAAAGCAATGTATCCAGATTACTACAGTCAAAGGGATTTCATTTTGCAGTTTGACTTCAAATTCTGCAACAAATTTATAATCGAAGATTGCAAAAAAAGCGAAACTCAACATTTATTAAGCAGTATATACAACAGCATCAACAAACAATAAACTGACTCTTCTCATCACGTAAACATATTTTTTCTTAAAATTGTTAAATTCATTTGTCTAAAATGTAGGTGTCCAAATGTCCCAATCGATAGAGTTTAGATTATATAGGAGGCTGGCTTCGACCATATCTGTCACGGCCAACCTGTGCTGGGGTGTGTGTGTGTCTGTGTGTGTGTGTGTGTATGTGTGTATGTGTGTGTGTGGGTGAGTGTGTGCATGTGTGTGTGTGTGTGTGTGTGTGAGTGTGTGTGTGAGTATAACAACCCCGTAGAAAAACCAGACACACCGGTATTTGATCAAAATCCTCCAACACAGAAATTCAACTCAGGCGTTCTGCATGCAATAGCTAAACACCTAACCACTACACCACATGTGTTGGAAAAGAATGCCTCGAAACGAATCTGTCAAAAACTTTCTGCGTTTTATAATTCTTAAAACTGAACATCCTTCAAACATTTTACAGAAACAAAATAACAAGTCCCATCACTTGATTGTAACAGTTATAATGTGACACATCGAGGTGGAATCAGGCACTCCTCAATTTTTGGACATATCATCTTAAAGCCTGTGAATTTGCCTTGCTTTTGGTGAAAAAAATATCCATTTATCCGGGATATGATTCGAGATATTGGCGATTGAAGGAGGTGGGGGTCGTCTGGTTTTAGAGGTAAAATTGGTGAGAAAATGGCCGCCAAAGTTTAGTTATTTCCTTAGCTTGAGAGTGCGTGGAAACTTAAAAATTACATCTTTTATGCCTTTGCTCAACGTTTTTTAGGATTAGTTCAATCCACACAGAAATGTGGTTTCCAAAGGGCATGAGAGGTGTAGAGCTAAATTACAAAAATTCGATAAAAATTTCCAAACCTGAGGAAAAATGCCAGTTTCCTAACTCTGATTATTTTGACGAGCGCCTGATTTCACCACGCTGCCTCACACAATAATATATAAAAAAAGATAAGATGTCACGGTAGAGAAGAAAGTCACAAATAACCAGCACAACCCAAAGGAGGTTGTGACCAATTAAAAATTTATCGCGCGCCGCCCTCCTTTCTGATTAGAAAGTTCACTCCAATCATAAAAACATAACACAGACAGCTCACTCTCTTAGTCAATACAACACTGAAAAGCAACAATCCTGTTGCATTATTTTATCTCGTTTTGATAAAAAAAATTACAGTAAAAGTAAAGCAGCATTTAAAAAAAATAAGTTTGAGACAAAAGTAAAAGTTTCAAAAGTTAAAATACACCAAAAGAAATTTAACAAAATTTTTTTTTACAATACACAGACTCTTGATTTCTACCATAAATCAAAATTTTGTTTCTGAACAAAAGTTTTCTTGATTTCAGATAAATCTTGCCTTTAAATTCACCAAATTATTTAAGGCATGCCCATTATTTTATGCCAGGGACAACCAAAGCCAAGACATTTCAAATGACTTTATAGCAAGAACACATCATCAACGTCCTAAGAAAGACAAGAAACTAATGCTTTAGCAGGATCAAACAGAGGATCCAATTTTTTTTGCGACGCTGACAACACATCTTCGGCCGATCTCTGCAGGAGTACAGACATATTCATAATTGAGCATGACCCAATAGAGACACTTTAAAAATAATAGTTTTTGATAAAATTTTCAACTGAGGAATAACTTAATCGGTCTTCTTCGGACGAAGGGATTTCCCGCCATTTTGATGAACTCCATTGGCAGCCTTTGACTTCCCGTTTTCTACTTTACTTGTTTTCTCCTGACCTAAGATCTGGTCTAGAGGCCCGTTGCCCTCGAAGGAACTCGGGTTTCGGAAAGAGCCGCCGATCCGGTCCCAGAGGGTGAAGAACTGTCCGTAGTTGTAGTTGTAGAAGACGTGGTGGTCCATGTGGTGGGCGCTGCCGTTGACGAATGGCTTGAGCAGATTGGGCACTCGGTAGTCTCCGTCGTGGATGGACACGGTCCAGATGTTGACGAAGATAAACAAGCCAAGATAGGTCACCTGAAAGTATATCAAGGCAAGGAATTGGCATATTAAAAAACAGTAAAAAAAGGTAGGTAGCAGGGACGTCTCTGAATCGGAAAGTCCGGGATCGAGCCTCGGTTCAGACAGATTTTTTTCGCCTCCTTCTGCCCACCCAGCAGTAATGGGTACCTGACTTCGAGTTGGGGAAGTAAAGGCGGCGTGAAAAGGAACTGGCCACCCTACCACAACGTGTCTTGCCAAAGGCCCAGGAAGTTGTCTCACTAACAAGGCAATCCCCAATGTCCGGATCGGATGCGGGACCAACTTTACTTTTTAGCAGGGACGTAATAGTGAATTTTCAAACTTATCCGAATGGCCACCTGTCTAGGAAAATCACCTGTATTTGTGAGGCAGCGTGGTGGAATCAGGCTCTCGTCAATTTTTGTGCATGTAGAGTTATGGTATCATCTTAAAGCTTGTTCACTTGTCTTTATTTGGTTGAAAAAAATATCCATTTATCTTGAATACAAGTCGAGATATTTGTGAATGAAGAAGGTGGGGGGCACTTGTTTTCAGAGGTAAAATTAGTGAGAAAATGGTCGCCAAAGATTTGTTATTTCCTTTGCTTAAGACTCCGTGGTAACTGAAAATTTATATTTTTTGTGCCTTTAATCAACGTTTTTCAGAAAAATCCACACAGAAATGGGTTCTTTAAAGGGCATGAAAGGTGTTGAGCCAAAAAATAAAAATTTGATAAAAATTCAGAAACCCGCGAAAAAATGCAACTTTCTTCACTTTGATTATTTGATGAGAGCCTGATTCCACCATGCTGCCTCACATATGAACAACCTCTTCCCACTTCTCTTCTTGTGTTTTTGAAATGCCACAGTCCACGGCGTCCCCAGCTTCAGACAACCACTAATCTCTACAAAGGATGCTTGTCTTGGACATTATTGACTGAATATGCCAAAGTGGGTAATGAGAAACTTGACACGCCAAGTTAGTGAAAAGATTAAACAAACAGCCTACACAATCTGCCAATGTAATCCGGCTCTTGAGTTTCCGAGTTTCCCTCCGTTAGACACAAGATGGCAAGAAAAGATGGAAGGAGATCCCAAAACACATGGAGGAGAACAGCAGAGATAGATCAATTTTTTTTCTTTTTCAACACTTTGCCATCACAAGGCTCATGTATAGTAAAAACCCGGGTTCATTCATATTCCTTACCTTATGCAAGGGAAACAGGAAAGGGTAGACATGGTAGGGCAGACTCTGCAGAAAGCCGTCCAGAGGGTGGAAGGCGTGGCTGGCAAACGGCGTCGGTACCTGGAGAGGCAACAAGCACGCTCATTTGTTTGTTTGTTTGCATTTATAAAGAAAAACACATTGACATACTGGTGGTAATTTAGTTTGGGTTTGAGAACATACATGATACAGAGAAGCACAGCAAAATTACAGTCATTTGTTTTTGTCATAGTTAGAGTTTTACAGCACTTGCAAAACAATAAGGTCATATAAGTGCCGGAGATTAGAGGCGATACAAGGGAGTAACAAACACAAAAACAGAAGGAGGGAAGATAAACACGATAGTTGTTTAATAGGAAAGAAGGAGCAAACCACACCAGAGCACCCGCCAACCAACATTTGTTTGTTTGTTTGCATAAAAAGAAAAAGACATCGACATACTGATGGTCATCTAGTTTGAGTTTGAAAACATACATGCAGAGAAACACATCAGCAAAATCACAGACATTTACTTTGCTCGTGCACAGAGAAGCACATCAGTGTAACTGGTCGCTTTTAAGGACAAGCGGGCTAACCCAGATTATGTGGGTTGCCAGAAATCTTGACCTACACCAAGAATGGACATCGCCCAACTTATAGGAGAATTTTGGTTTCATTGGAGTGTTTATTTGTTTGGTTATAGAGAAAACTCCTAGTCTTTTAATGAAACTGAATAAGGATCCAAAAACTTTACCTTCGATTTTCTCAAAACAGCATTTTTGGGATAGCCTCCTTGTGCTTAAAAGCGACCATTTATTTGTTTGCAGAAAGCCAAAAACAAAAGACAAAAAGATCTACATATATGACATGTCAAACTTCAGCTCAAAATATAACCAGGACAGGCAAATATTGTTTTGCAACCCATCAGGTTTACTTTTAGGAACAAGCCCAAAAAAACTCAGAGAACCCGAGAGAGTTAAGTCTAATGCGTCTCACCTCGCTCGGCCAGTCGGGAGCGTTGTATCGTTAATACTACCAACTTTATAGAGAGTTTTATGGTAAGTGGCCGTGCCTAGTGTATGCACTCTACATACAGAGAAGCACATCGGCAAAATTACAGAAATTCGTTTTATTTGTTTTAGTAAGCATCATACGGCACTTGCAACATAATTAGGTCATATAAGTGTCAAAGATTAGAGGGGTTACAAGAGAGTAACAAACATAAAAAAGGAGGACAGATCAGAACGATAGTTACTTACTTTGCCTGTGCACAGAGAACAGAGAAGCACATCGGCAGAATTACAGTTATTTACTTCGTCTGTGCACAGAGAACAGAGAAGCACATCGGCAGAATTACAGTTATTTACTTTGCCTGTGCACAGAGAACAGAGAAGCACATCGGCAGAATTACAGTTATTTACTTCGCCTGTGCACAGAGAACAGAGAAGCACATCGGCAGAATTACAGTTACTTACTTTGCCTGGGAACAGAGAACAGAGAAGCACATCGGCAGAATTACAGTTACTTACTTCGCCTGTGCACAGAGAACAGAGAAGCACACCAATACAATACCAGTCACTTAGCTTTTGTTAGGAGTAAACAGAAGTACACTGACACAATAACAGTCTTTTCATTTGTTTTAGTTTTAGTAAGTGTTTTTACGGCACTTGCAACACAACAAGGTCATATAAGTGCCGAAGATTAGAGGTGTTACAAAAGAGTGACAAACACAAAAAAGAAGGAGGAGAGATAAGGACGATAGATGTTTGATAGGAAAGAAGAAGCAGTATGAGGAGATGAAAGAAGAGGACAGAACATTGCTTGAGAGCAGGAAAGGAGGTGAACGGAGACAATTTTAGAGAAGAAAATTCTTCAGTCGCTACCCGGATTCGAACCCGGGACCTTTGAATGAGAGGCCAACAACTTAACCTCTAGACCACGAGAGCCCCCTTTTGTATCCGTCTGTCCGACCTGCCCTTGATCTCTTTGTCTGCCCCCGTAGTTTTAGGCACCCCGCATAATTTAGCAAATTTGATCATTTCTTGCATAATTTCTTATTATTCTCCTTTATCACTCTTTGTTAAAATTAACAAAATCGCACAATTTCGCATTTTTGGGCTCAGTTTGCGTAATTTCAGATTTTTTTTGTGTGCATAAAACGGCAGGAACAGCTTTGTGCTGCGAGTGCCGTAAAGCTCTTACTAAAACTACGGTAATCAAGCCTCACCTTCCACTTGTGGTGCAGCTTGTGCAGATGCTTGTAGACTAGCTTGTGGTGCAGGAAGCGGTGGATCCAGTAGATGCACATGTCAGTGAAGGCGATGAAGGTGAACATGCTCAGGAACACACCCGCATAGCCTGGGAGTTGGGGGGGCAGAAAACTACCACTGATTATGTGTGTATATGTGTAGATTAAAGAGACTACTGGTAACATTAAAAACAACGAGAGAGAGAGAGAGAGAGAGAGAGAGAGAGAGAGAGAGAGAGAGAGAGAGAGTGAGAGAGAGAGAGAGAGAGAGAGAGAGAGAGAGAGAGAGAGAGAGAGAGAGAGAGAGAGAGAGAGAGAGAGAGAGAGAGAGAGAGAGAGAGAGAGAGAGAGAGAGAGAGAGGGAGGTAGAGGGAGAGAACTCGCTACTTAAATTATCTAAATTGTGTCGATGGGGGTGTAAAAAAAACCCACACACATCTAAAAAAAAACCCAAACAAACAAGAACACTTGTCTCCTGAAACAAGCCAAAAACTCCATTTCTGTTGGAGTGAAATACATTCAGAATTGTGCTGACCAATATATTATTTATACAGGTAATATAATGATCCTTACACCAATAATATGATATTTAAACATTAAGTAAACAAGTACTAATACTCAACATTTCAATTTTTTCTCTCTAAAAATGATGATACCTTGGTGAGAATTTAAAACATCTGAACTGGAAAACTGCAAAGAGCAGGAAAAGGGGGTGGGAGGGGGTAGGAAATGCAAAATGATATATTAATAAGGGTTTCAATTTCATGCTCCTGGCAGTCTCATTTCACGTAAAAAGCGATCAAGTGTGTACAAATCCATCATTCGACTCTTTCACTTAACAGTCAATATTCAGTAGCATGAGGATTTAGTTTTCTCTTTCATATTTCATATCATCACACAAATATTATATATAATACATGTATATATATATATCTTAGCCTTCTGCTGGTACATCGATTTTGCCATTCCAGGCAACCGTTTAACGGTTCTTGATTTACGACTGCCATTTCTACATTTAAATTGACATTTTTCAGAGCAACTTCGATAACACCTTACATAAAGTTTACAATTTACCACACAATCGAACCTGCTCTGAAAGCCAGCTTTCAAAACCACTACCTCCCGCCTTGCCTTTGCCCAAGTTATCCTCAGTTACCCATAGATATATACTGTATCCAAGTCTGTTATAGAGCCCATAGATATATACTGTATCCAAGGCTGTTATAGAACCCATAGATTTATACTGTGTCCAAGGCTGTTATACAGAACCCATAGATTTGTACTGTGTTCAAATCTGTTATACCGAGTTCAAAGCTGTTATAGAACATAGATTTATACTGTGTCCAACGCAGTTATAGAACCTATAGATTTATTCTGTATCCAAGGCTGTTATACAACCCATAGATTTATACTGTATCCAAGGCAGTTATACAACCCATAGATTTATACTGTGTCCAAGGCTGTTAAAGAACCCATAGATTTAAACTGTATCCAAGGCTGTGCACTCTGATGTCATTCCAATTTATCGTGGAGACTGCAAAATTTGATTCTAACTAGAAATAAATGAATGGCAAGGAAGGGAAATTTTGTGTGCGTAACTCAACAAAAGCAAGACTGGTGTTTTGCTCTTCATTTGCCCACCCATGGTGCACACCTGAGCAGCCAAATTTTTACAGAAAGCAAAGAGCTGCGGCCACCACAGTAGGACCTAAAAGAGTGCCCTTCAGCCCCCCCCCCCCCCCCAACTCAATGACTATTGTGAGCTGGAAAGCAAAATCTCCAATCCCGCAAGCTAAGATCCCATACAGGTCATAGCGTTGACAAATTAACACTACTAAAAGTGAGTAATACGATAAAGGTACAGTCAAACTTGTCTACTACGACCACCCACTGTCGAGGGGAAAAGTGTCCGTCTTAGACAGGTGACTGTCTTATACAGTGTCATTGTAATGTAAAAAATACACTAGGGAGGAAATGGGAGGTAGCCATTTGTACAGGTGATTGTTTTATACAGGTGGCCATTAGAGCAGGTTTTAGTTTTAGTTTTAGTAGAGGTTTTAAGGCGCTCGCAACTGAATAAAGTCATCTGAGCTCCAAGGTCTGCTTCGAGTATCAAGACACCCCGGAAAAAGCGGGTCACAAGAGTGTGACAAACATACAAAAGAAGTAGAGGAAAAATGACGATAGTAAGGGTTAGGAAAGAAAAAGCAGCAGTTCCCTGTCGTAGTTCAGGCACAGTTATGAGAATGAGATTGATGAATCAGCCCATTTACAATTCAACTGTGCTTGAACGAGAAATGTCCCCCCTTTAGGAATGGCCTAAAGACACTTCAGTCAGTGGCACTGCCCCGTGGGGTCTTGAAAGGAATGAGAGCCAACATTTTGCCAATCGGGAGTAATAATAATAATACGGGGGTGGGGGGCAGAGCAGGTTTGACTGTACATTCGACCCCTCATTCTCAAAAAACTTTTCAAAAAAGCGTCTTTCGGGCATGACGTCACAATAATCTCAAATGTAACCCAGTAAGGAGTAGAGGAGCCAAGGCATGTGCGCACTGGGTAACCTGAGAATCGAACAGACAGCTCTAGTTTTCTTTTCACAGATGATAGTTTTTGCTTGGTCATCACATCAACCACCACATGTTACCAAGATCACGTCAGACAAACAGCCTAGTGGTTATATGTTTGTTTTAGTAGAGGTTTTACGGTGCTCGCAACTGTATAAGGTCATATGAGCGCCAGAAGATTAGAGGTGTTACGAGAGAGTAACAAACATAAAAAAAGAAGAAGGGGAGATAAGGACGATAGATGTTTCACAGGAAAGAAGAAGCAAACCACACCAGAGCACCCGCCAACCACCCACTGAAAGTGAGACTATGTGCATGCGTACATGTTTGACTGAGAGGAAGAGAAAGGCTGTGTGTGAGCATGCCAGTGCTTGTGAGAGCGAGTCGGTGCGAGTGTGAGTATGTCTGTGTGCATGACTGCTCGACCACACTACTTGGCCATATTAGAAAATATTTTTAAAAAGAATAAGTGAGATGTACTGACAAAATGAGTTACTTCTCGCAATCCAAAAATGGAGATATTGGCCAAAAATCGACACTACAGTCAAGTGTGTAGATTTTCTATTGAAGCCATATATTCCTTAAGCCTTAAGTAAAAGATGGCTTTTATTATTCATACTTACAAATTGTAAAAACTTCACCTATAAGCGTTATGTATCTATTTCCATAGGGCTTGAATCTGACAAGTAACTCATTTGGTCAGCATGCTTCATATATGTGAGGCAGTGTGGTGAAATCAGGCGCTCGTCAAAATACAGAAATCGGAGAAAAATGTTTTTTCCCCACCAGTATGTAAATTGTTATCGATTTTTTATTTTTGGGCTCAACCTGTTAGGCCCATATAAAAGCACATTTTCATGTGAATGGTACTGAAAAAACATTGATTAAAGACACAATATATGTCATTTTTCTCTTTTCAGGGACTCTTTAGCTATTGGAGTTGCCAAACTTTAAGGGCCATTTTCTCGCTGATTTTACCACTGAAACCAGGCGACCTCACTTTCTTAAATCGCAAATATATTAAGTTCTATTCAGGAAAGACGGAAATTTATTTCATCGGAAGCAATGCAGATAAATCAGCTTTCAGGTGATACCAATAACTCCCCAAGTCCAAAAAATCGACGAGCGCCTGATTCCACCACGTCATGACTCATATATTATATTATGCTAAACAAAAGAATTTTATAATTAGGTCAAGTGGGCGGAGCTTGACCCTCCTTCCTTACCCAGCCTTGTATCTTGGACGTTGTCGTAGAGTTTGCTGAAACCTCTGACCTCCAGGAAGAACATCAAGACAGTGGGGAGACTCATGAAAGGAACTGACGTCACCGTGACTGTTATTTCCTTCCGCACTTGGTTCTGAAATCAGGGATGCCAAACGATTTTTGAAAAAAAAGACCCCACCTGAAAATGAGCGGAGCATCACATCGCGCCTGCTTGTGTGTGTGTGTGTGAGTACACGTGGTGAAACACCAAACCAATGTGCCAGGATCTGGACAATAAAGATGTATCTTATCTTATCTCACAAACCTTGTAAAGTTTTTAAATACTTACTTACTTTACTTTCATTCGCCGCTTTAACCCTTTTGGGTGTCGCGAGAAGAAAGAGACGTCTCTCTGTCGCCAGCCGGAGAGCTTTAGTCAGCGGGATGCCGTGGGTGGTTAATGTTTCCCTGACTCCAAGTTTTTAAATGAGCACACAAAAACATCTCTCTTACCTCTCCTCTTTCCTTTGCCCTCTTTCCTTTGCAAGGGAATGGGAACTTTGTTTAATCAATTCCAGTAATATTATATCTGTTCTGAGAAGAAGGACCTTATGTCAGTGGCCTTCTTCTTCAGGGATTCCAAATGATTTTTTTTAAAAACAAACCCTGAAAAAGCCTGAAAAGCCTGAGATTGGGCATCCCTGTGAAATGTGAGGCGTGCTAACAAAACGAGTTACTTCTAACAATCCTTGAATGGAGATATCAGCCAAAAATCAACACAAGAGTCATATTTATAGACTCTAAACCAATGTGAGGCAGCGTGGTGAAATCAGGCTCTCGTCAAAATAATCAAAGTGAAGAAACTTGCATTTTTCTGCAGGTTTGTGAATTCTTATCAAATTTTTGTTTTTTGGCTCAACACCTTTCATGCCTATTAAAAAACTCATTTCAGAGTGGATTTTTCTGAAAAACGTTGATTAAAGAAACAAAAATTGAAAATTTTCAGTTACCATGGACTCTTAAGCTAAGGAAATAACTAATCTTTGGCGGCCATTTTCTCACTAATTTTATTTCTGAAAACAAGTGACCCCCACCTCCTTCTTTCGCAAATATCTCGACTTGTATTCAAGATAAATGGATATGTTTTTCGTCGAAATAAAGACAAGTGAACAAGCTTTAAGATGATATCAATAACTCAACATGCCCAAAAATTGACGAGAGCCTGATTCCACCACGCTGCCATTCTCTTCAAGTTTAACATGTCTTTTATCACTTCATACTGATAAATTGTATGAGAGCAAGTTCCCAAAGGATTGGAAAGAAGGACACCTCGTGAAGCTTCCAAAAAAGGGGGATCTCAGCAACTGCAGCAACTCTTCTCTCAATATCAGGTAAGGTCTTCAACAGAATCATTCTAGAGAGAATCAAGACAGCAACGGATCCAAGCCTACGGGATGAACAGGCTGGTTTCCGGAAAAATCGCTCAACCACCGACCAGATTGCCACGCTGAGGATTATTGTGGAACAGTCCCTGGAGTGGAACTCCCAGCTGATCGTCAACTTCCTTGACTATGAGAAGGCTTTTGACAGTGTAGACCTATGGAAGATACTGAGACACCACGGAATCCCACAGAAGTTGATGAACCTCATCAAGAGCATGTACGAAGAGACAAGTTGCAGGGTTGTACATGATGGCCAGCTCACTGACAACTTTGACATCAAGAATGGTGTGAGACAGGGATGTTTATTATCACCGTTCCTCTTCAAATTGGCAGTTGACTGGCTGATGAAGGAAACCACCAGAGGACACAGAAACGGTATACAGTGGACATCATGGACACAGTTGGACGATCTGGACTTTGCAGATGACTTGGCGCTTCTGTCACACTCTCAGGAACAGATGCAAGCAAAGACGACAATTTTAAACAGCCTATCCGAGTCTGTTGGATTGAGGATCCATCCCAGAAAGTCGAAAGTCCTCAGGATAGATGCACGGCGAAAGGAGGTCACAATAGAAGGAAATGCACTAGAAGACGTCGAATCCTTCTGCTATCTTGGGAGTATAATTGACAGAGAGGGAGGAACAGGCGCTGAAATAAAGTCCCGCATTGGAAAGGCACAGGCTGCATTTATTTCTTTGAGCAGGATTTGGAGGACCAGGGATATCTCATTACGAACAAAGCTTAGAATTTTCAACTCAAATGTGAAGTCAGTCTTGTTGTATGGATGTGAGACGTGGAACGCATCCCATATGTGCATAAAGAGGATCCAGGTTTTCTTGAACAAGTGTCTGGGGAGGCTGCTGAGGATCAAATGGACAGACAGGATCACCAACGAGGAAGTATTAAGAAGAACCAGACAGAGCCTGGTCAGAGATGAGGTGGGAAGAAGACATTGGCGATGGATTGGACACACTCTCAGGAAGTCAGGCAGCTGCATAACAAGAAAAGTGTTAGATTGGAACCCACAGGGTAAAAGATCAAAGGGAAGACCTCGTGGAACCTGGAGAAGAGTCACGGAAATGGATGTACAGAAAAGTGGGAAGACGTGGAGTGACATCAAGCGACTGGCCCTGGATAGGGAAAGGTGGAAAGTGTTTGTTCGTGGCCTATATCCTGACCCAGGGTGAGAAAGGCAATGATGATGATGACTGATAAAGTGTAAAACTTCAACCTATAAATTTGATGTTTCTATTTCCATCGGTCTAAAATCTGAGAAGTACAACATTTTGTCAGCACACTTCACAAATGTTAAACAAAAGAGGCAATGAATGTGTTTTTATCATCCCATTCATTTCTAACCTTTTCACAATGCACCGCGGGTGATGTGTATTTTTTCTGGGTTTTTTTTATAGTAGAGGGTTTTACGGCGCTCCAAACTGCATAAGGTCATATAAGCGCCGAGGGATGGGTGTCAACAGAGAAGTCTTTACAGGGAATCAGATTTAGACTGCTCACCTCTCTAGCTTTAACAGCACAAGGTCTGCTTCGACTATCAAGGCACCCCAAAATAGCAGGTCAGAAGGGAGTGACAAACATACAAAAGAAATAGGAGAAAATGACAATAGTAAGGATCAGGAAAGAAAAAGCAGCAGTTACCTGTTGTAGATCAGGCACAGTGAGCGTGACATGAATCAGCTCATTAACAATTCTACTATCTTGAACCAGATATGTCCCCCCCTTTGGGAATGACCTAAAGACACTTCAGTCAGTGGCACTGCCCCGGGAGGTGATCAGTGATGTGGGGTTTTTTTGTTTTTGTTTTTTACACCATTTCCAAGCCAAATACTCCTCTTTTAGTTTTAGCAAGAGTTTTATGGCACTTAAGCAACACAATAAGGTCATATAAGTGCCGAAGATTAGAGGTGTTACAAGAGAGTAACAAACACAAAATAGAAGGAGGGGAGATAAGGACTATATATGTTTGATAGGAAAGAAGAAGCAAACCACACAAGAGCACCCGCCAACCACCCACACTCCTCTTTGGCGAGGGCAGGTGTACAACTGATCACATCGTCGAGCGTCACTCTGGCATCGTGTATATAAACAATGAGCATAATCTTACATTTTTTACTTTTTAACTTTCAAAAAGCATTTACATACCATTTTGGAACTGTTTCTTTGTTGTAAAATTCTGTCAATAGTGTAGATAAGAGCGTTCACGGTTGATAGAATTAGTTTTAGCGCTTCAAACTTAACCCTATCCGTACGCCCTGGGGTCATTTTGTACCCCTGGGGTTGTATTCCTCACATTTTAGAATACTTCTAGTACGAAGATCTTTTTGGAACTTTCAGTATTTAAAAAAAAATCATTTTGACAGACTGCTGTGCAAAGCGTACAGACCGGATTGTCAAGTAAATTTCCTCCTTGGAAAGTGGTGGCACTGAGTTCCCCACGTCGTATGGATATGATAGTAAAACACGATGTACGGATAGGGTAAAGGGGCGGCACAGAGTTCCCCACGTTGTATGGATACGATAGTAAAACACGGCGTATGGATAGGGTTAAGTGGTGGTACAGAGTTCCCCACGTTGTATGGATATGATATTAAAACATGATGTACGGATAGGGTAAAGTGGTCGCACAGAGTTCCCTACGTCGTATGGATACGATAGTAAAACAGGACGTACGGATAGGGTTAAAGACCACAAGGAATCTCAACAGGACACAACATTGCCAACAGACTATTCAACAACCTTTTAAAAAATGATTAAAAAGTACTGACAACATACCTCCAAAATTTGCGGGTGCTTCAAAAGTCGATGATCGAAGATAGTGTAGTAGCTGAAGGTGGCCACAATGAAGTACAAGAGATAGCCTCCAATGTTGGCAATGATCAACAGGGACGCAATCTGTCGGAGGGGGTCGTCCTCTTTCCACGTCTCCGGATACAAGTATGGAGTGAAGGCATAGTGGTCTGCTACATTCAAGACAAGATCCATTGTGCTGTGATCCTTTATGCAAGGGACTCCCCGCTATGAGTAATTTAAGTGTAATCCAGGAGGTGTAGAATATTTCCTTATTCACTTCAGTTGGAAGTTAACTCCTGGAAAATTATACCCAAAAAAAACTTTTTAAAATATGATCAAGGCATTAACATTAATTAATTAAATTTTCAATAACATAAAGATCTGAGTGGTTTCCAGGGGATCACTAAAATATTTTGAAGGACTCGTTAGGCCCTTCAATCTGTTTGGCTGTCCCCGTCGTTTTAAGCAAGAAAAATTCTGAAATTATGCAAACTGAGCCCAAAAAACGTGAAATTATGCGATTCTGTTAATTTTAACAAAGAATGGTAAAGGAAAATAATCAGAAATTCGGCAAAGATTTAAAAAATGAAAAAATTTTGCAAAATTATGCGGGCCGCATAAAACCACGGGGACAGGTTTGGTCCTTACATCCATGGGTCTTGGGCTCGCAAATAAATGTGTAGAGGTGATCCTGTATATAAAATTCCTCACTTACTTTAGCCCAGTATAATGAAAATTGCTGTGTGCATTAGCAACAAAATATTACATGCTAGCTAACAGCAGAGGGAATTTGGAGGTTTTGATTAGTAATCTTTTGGCAGGTGAATGGAAGAAATTATAGCTGAGAAAAATCCTGTTCCACTAAAAAATTTTTTTTTATTTTTACCCCTTCAATTTTTGTTCTACAGACAAATCTACACCAAGCTATGAGCACCAAGCACATACAATCAAGCATGCAAAGTTTTGAAGAGATAAATTATTTCTAATAATTATTGCAGCGTCACTCCCTAAAAGTTTAACATTAATTTAAAGAAAATCTGAAAAAAATCCAGCATATAATCTTGTAAGGTTGTGTGGGTGCAAGCCTAGAATCTAGTACTGAACACTTTATTCAAGGGATAATTTTGTGTCAGAATTCAGAAAATTGAGGACACACAGCTTGTTCATACTTTAATCCCCTTTCAATTCATTTTGTGAGTTCAGGGCCTAGTTCAAAGTATTAATTAGAACTTTATATTACATATCACTTTTATTGGTTTTGAGATTTAAAAAACTGAAAAAATCAGAATATGTTTCAGCACCAGCTTGATCTCTTGAGTATGTTAGAAAGCTGTGTCTCCCCTTAACAAATGACAAAATTGACACAACAATAACCTATTTGAAGGTCATTTCATCAACTGAGTCAGAAAGATGAGAGATAAAAGGGTTTATTATCAAACAATACATTATGTTCCATGCAATTTACAGATCTGCGCAATCTTGCGCCGCACGTTTTTATGATCGTAAGATTGCGCGGCCATCTTAAGATAGCGTTTTGCGTTTTAACGATGGTATAATTGCGCGGCAATCTGAAAATTGCGTTAATATTTTATACATGAATTTTTTAGTTTTTTAAAATCCACTTCCATCTTTATTCTTTAACTCACATCAAGGAACATTCACATACGTTTTCAAAAGTGTAAAGATAGGAAAATTAAAATTAAAATATAAAACTGAAGAGCTCACAAGAATGATATATAATGCCAGGCATCAATTTCAAAATTCTCAAAACACATAGATCTAGATCTAGATCTAGATCTAGATCTAGATTTAGATTAGATCTAAAAGAATAAATAAAGATCAGATGGAAGCAAATTTAAAAAAAAAATTATTTCAAAAGTATAAATTCCATAGTATTTACACACCCTGTGCGAATAACTACAGCCATAAAAAATACTTTTAGAAATAGAAATCAAGATCTAATCTAGATTAGATCTCTATAGAATCTAGCAATATAATATAAAAACAATAAACGTAAGAGTCAATTCAGGCCCAAGATTTGGTCTTAGGACTGACTTTTCAGAGGGTAACGTTACAAGCAGCACGTAGCATCTAATAAGCTTGCATGATAAATTAAGGTTAAGGGTCGATATAAGTAACAGAATCTAGAATCTAGCCTAGCCTAGTAAACCTTTTCGTAAGCAAATGAAAAGGTAAAAAAAAAAGACCTGGAGGGTCTAGAATCTACATATCTAGAATCTAGATCTAGAAATCTAGTTCTAGATCTAGAAGCCGTTATAACAAAAATCTACCTGAAGGTACAAAATAAAACAAGAAATTAACAGCTTTTCAAGTTGTTGCATAATCAGAGAGATAGAATCTAGCAGAGATAGAATCTAGATCTAGATCTAGATCTATATTCTAGATCTAGAATTTCTATGTTCTAATAACCCAGCGCCTGTACAGCGTTCACATCATATCAAACAAAGACAACTGAATCGATGCTTGTCGAGAAATTAAAAGGACGAAGAAGTAAAACACATACCCTTGTTCAGGCTTGTTCTACGCCTCACTGGAACTGGCGATTCTACTTCGTTCAATGACCGTGATAAAATAAAATTAGATCTACGACTCTTCCGTCTTCCACTTCTAGGCTAGATTTTAGCAGTCGGCTTTTTCATGTACCCGAACCCACAACCAGCTGGTTACGGCCCTGAGGCTGTGCTTCCGGGGTAACCCAGAACTCAGAGAACGCTCATTGGTCAAGAATGGTCGACTGAGGAAAGTCCTAGCTAAATTTAGATACAACGCTGAAAGTAACTCTGTTTGTAAAAGAGCGATTCAACTTAGTTCAGCCGCTCGGCCATAAAAGTATTAGATCTAGATTTCTAGTTTTTTTTGCTTGATGTTACAATGCCAAGTTGTGGTGACGCATTGTGTGTGTTTATTAAGTATGTCTCTGTGTGTGTTTTGTGAGTATGTGTGTGTACGTGTGTGTATGTGTACGTGCATGTGTGTATGTACGTTTGTGTGTATGTGTGTGTGCATGTGTGTGTGTGTGTGTGTGTGTGTGTGTG